GTAGGCGTGTGGCTTGTGGGCTGTGTGGATCACCGATAACTCGAGTTTATAGGAACCGGAGGCATTGGTGGTAAAGAGGGCGGTGATGCGCTTCTTCTGCAACTTCCGGCCCCGACACTTGCTGGCAGACTGGACAACGAAGGTCTTGGAAGGTAGCTTTTTCCAAAAGAGACCGGATTCGTCCATGTTGAATACCTGGTCATCGGTGTACTGTCCTTCCTCCATAATCTCACATAAGAACGGAGGAAAATCCCTAGCCGCAACACGGTCAGCACTCGCTTCTTCACCACCAATGATAATGTTGGTGATCTTGTTCCTCTTCTTAAACCTGTGCAACCACCCAGAGGAAGCATTGAAGGGTTTGGGCTCTGCAATTCCCATCTTACGTGACACTGCTGCGTACAGCTCATGTGCGTACTCCTGAACTGACCATGTTCCGTCTTGCTGACGAATAAAGTAGCTCACAAGTAAATTCTCCGTCTTGAGAAGCACCTTGTTCTGGCAATACTTGATTATTGAAGCACCTGCAGACTTTGTGGTGTTCAAGTGTTCTTTTATCTAGGCTGCATCCTTCTTTATCGTCCGGATTGTAGATTCGTTCACGCCATGCTGGCGCGCCAAATCAACTTGTCTTGTTCCTTTCTCCATTTCTTGAATAATCTTGTACTTCACATCGTAGCTTAGGGCACGTCGTATCTTCTTTGGCTTAGGGCGGCTGGGTCCAGGTAATGCAAGGTTTTTCTGTGGCGGTGGTGGTCCGGTGGCAGCCTTGACCTCATTATGACTGATCTCGGTAACCACTACCTTCCCCCCCCAGCCGCTGCCTCCCAAGGGACGCAGCCCCCACCTGTCCCTGCTGTGGTCACCTACCCCCACCTTCTCACCACCGCCAGTTGCCACCAGGACTTACCGACCCACCCCTGACTCTGCTATGCGCCGTTTTGGACAATGGATAACCCGGTATCCCTGGACATAAGTGATCACGGTAGATGATGTGCAGAACAAGTGGGATCATTACCTGGACACTATCACCAAAGCCTACCACCACTTCTTTCCAGCCAAGACACTGAGGATCCACCCCGATGATGTCCCGTGGATTACGCCCCACATAAAAAGACTTATTGAGCAGCGCAACAAGGCATACTACACCAACAACCGCCTGTACTAAAGTCTACGTAACCAGGTCATCAGGGAAATTAAGTCTGCCAAGAAGACTTATTATCCCAGGAAAGTGCACGGCCTCAAGGAAGTCGGCATCGGTCAGTGGTACTCCAAGGTGAAAGATCTCTGTGGTCTCAACTGTCAGTCTCCCACACTTCCTTTCATCTCTCATTTACCTAGTGAGGAGGCAGCTGAGATAATTAATAACCATTTTGCTACCATATGTCATACCTTACCCAGTCTTGACCTCACTCTCCTCCCAGCTTACTTACCTTCCCCCTCCCCTCCCCTCCCAGTTTTCAACCATATGAAATCGCCAACAAACTCCTGAAATTTAAATCCAAACGCTCCACGACCCCAATTGACCTCCGAATCAAAATATACAAGGAGTTTGCAGTCAAACTTGCCACCCCCCTCTGTTCTATTATTAATGCATCCCTCAGACAAAGCAAATGCCCTAATGAATGGAAAACCGAATTTGTCACCCCCATCCCCAAGGTCACCACCCCACAGTCCCCTAACGACCTCAGGCCAGTTTTTGAGTGGGCATTTGCCAGTATCTATCAGTCAATTGATCCACAGCAATTTGGCAATATGAGGACCTCTACATCACACTGCTTAGCGAGCTTTCTGGATTTTCTGCACAAAAACTTGCAGAAACGTACAACATCACTGGCCGTTGCCCTTGTGGACTTCAGGAAGGCCTTTGACCTTGTTGATCACTGCACTGTTATCAACAAGGCTATTGCACTAGGGCTGCCCACCAACCTGATTTCATGGCTTACTGATTTCTTGAGTGGACGTCGACAGGTAGTGAGGTATCAGGGCTTGGTCTCCACATTCCAACACCTCACCTGCGGTGTTCCCCAGGGGACCAAGATGGGACCACTGTGCTTCCTCATCCTGATCAACGACGCTCTATCGGACACTCCTCACAGGTGGAAGTACGTGGATGACTGCACTGTGGGGGTTTCAGTGGACAACACTGCACCAGACTACTCATCGCTACAAGGCACCCTGGACAGGCTACAGGCGTGGACTACGGAGAACAAGGTCACCATCAACCACACCAAGACCTTAGTCATGCACATCAATACCGCCACCACTCCAGTGCAAGCCCCAGCAGTCACAGTGGGTGCCCATCCTCTCCAGCTGGTGCAGTCTGCCAAACTCCTGGGTGTAACTATAGACAACAAACTTGACTGGAAGGCCCATGTAAATAACACAGTCAAGGCAACCTCGTACCGTCTCTACATGCTACGACGACTTAGGTCACTTGGGACACCCATGCCAGAGCTGAGGACCATCTACAACGCCTTTATTCTCCCCAAACTAACGTATGCGTCACCAGCCTGGTCGTCTTCTCTCAACTCCACCCAACAATGTCAGCTAGAGAAGGTACAGAAAAGGGCCTGCAGAATCATGCTCGGCGCAGAATACTCCGGCTACACCAACGCTCTCTCCACCCTGGAAATGCCATCCCTCAGTGACCTCCACCACCAAGCACTGGAAAGGTTTGGCAGTGGATTACTGCACCACCCTAGTCATCGCCACCTCCTGCCACCTGCAGCCCCCCACCCAACTCGCGCAATCCGCCACTACAACAAAATTCAGCCCATAAGAGCCCGCACCGATAGATATAAGAACAGCACCATCCCATCTATTGTTAAAATAATAAACAACAACTGATTTATGTACTGTACAGCCCTGTAAATGTATTCAATGCATATTATATAATTATGTCTAAATCAAATGTAAGTGTATATTTTCAGCCACTGGCTGCAACTCTATTAATAAACCGTTTATTATTATTATTATTATTATTATTATTATTAGTAGTAGTAGTAGTAGTAGTAACAATAGATACCGGTATACACAGTGTGGCCGGGAGGGGTGCAACCGACGCGGCTAGGTCAAGTGCCTTCTACCCGCCAGCGGGAAGGCACGTCATATTACATTAAACTAATCACAGCTAGCGGCGGAGGGAGGTAAGGATGCGTGGCCCAATCACAGTCCGGTACGTCATATGACTTCAGCGATAACGCAACAGAGGCATGCACTGCGCAACCTACTCGCGCCACGTGCCCAACATGGCAGGATGGCGGGAGGTTTGAATCCAAAAATGGCGGCGCGGCAGGACCGCCAGCTGCTCTCCGCGTATATGAGTAGAAGCACCGCGTAAAGTGGGAATTCCGGTTCTGGCAGGGTACCGCGTAAATGTGGAGACGCGTAAACGAGAACCGCGTAAATCGTGGTATTACTGTACATCCCCCAAGGGTTAACCTTCACTTTATAAGGTGAGAGGTGATTTTTTTTTTGTAAACAATTTCTTATTTTGCACAACAAAACCCTGAATCTGGCCGTGTTAGGTCACAAGGTTCCTGGGTAAGGGTTCCCATATTTGAAGTACAGTACTCACAATTCCTTCATCCAGTTTCTGAAGTGTTTTCTCTTTTCTTTTCATTCTTGTAAGTCAAAAGCTTATTTTTTCATCTCTTGACAGTGGTCTCTTATTAGAAGCCATTATAAGGGTAAAATACATGTTGAATTTGTTAACATAGTGGCTGGATATAAGTCACTATAAGTTCAGAGTTTGGAAGTGTGAGCAGCTGCAGCCTTGGACACCAGTGGGAACTACTACAGTACTGTACTGGGTGTTCTTTCCTTCGACTATTTGTACATATATTAGAATTCATGGGAATATTGGAGATTTTTTTAAATTGGGCCAGTTTTAGGGGGATTCTGCTAAAAAAAATGTTGGATTATTGAGGTTCCAGTGTGTAAGTGATTAAAAAAATCACTTGATACTATTAGCTGTGCAAGTTACTACAAAAGTATTTATGGATTATTCAGACCAGTGAAAAGGATGCAGCATGGGTAGATGGTCTGAATGAGAGCACAAATACAGTATACACTAATTCTTGTAACTGCAAGGCACAAATCATGCATGTTGCTCTATCACAGAAGTCTGTAAAAAAATTACTTAGTGCAATGCTGCTCTTGAGCTTGTAGTGGGCCTACAGTAAGCTGCCCTACCCCCTCACCATCACAACCTGCATCAGCCTCACACTTACCTCCAGAGATCTGTACTGTACTAATCTCTAGACCAGGGGTTCCCAAGCTTTTTCACGACCCCATCCAGTGTTGTCAACTATCCAGTGCGACCCCAAATCATTTCACTGGCAGACCCAAAGGACCCCACCGACCCCATGACCTCTTTGCTACCCTACCTAATGAGCCTTCCGACCCCATTTGGGGTCGTGACCCCAGGTTTGGGAACCCCCGCTCTAGACAAAACACACCAGTTCAGTTCCCTTCCCTCATTTTAAAACATAGGTGTATCCCAGGTGTGAATGGCTTGGAATCCTTCCCTTCTTCCTAAGGGATTTCCTGAATTGACAAGGACTGAGGATGGTTCACAAAACTCAGTGGGGTTTGGTTGAGTCTCAGAGTGGATAAATTTAAGTTTTAAATCATTGCTTGTAAAATTTACATCACATATTCAGAACATGAACCCCCAAGGTGAGAAGGTTTTGTTCAGTTGATGACATCTCTTCTCATTGGTGCACATTGTCCCTTTAGTAAGGTATTGCAGTGCACTCCACCTGGGCACTGGCTGGCTTAGTGTGAATTCTCATTGATAGTCTTTCACAGGAGACTCAATTTTCTCCATTGCTAAAAAATAGGTTTTCAGTTATTGAATCATCCACTTTACTAGAACTTTACAAAAATATTCTGAGTGCTTTACTTACAGGTAAAGATATCATGATATACAGTACATTTAAAAATTTCATTCCATCATTTTGTCAGAATAACATTGTTATATTCTCTCTTTACAGTCATGGTTGGGCAAGTGCAATGGCAGCAATTGGATTACCACACATTAAGTTCATATGTCCTACAGCGTAAGTATGATTTTGTTTTATGTATTTTTTGGCCTAAGGATTATTTGTCAGGTGACCTCTGATGTTTTACTAAAAAGAACATTCCTTGGCAGTCTGCCTTGTTCAGGGGTGAATGCATTTTGTAGCATTGGTGATGCCTTAACCAGATTACAGTAGTATTAGAGCTGCATAAGCTCTAAAGGTCCCTGAGACAAATTTGTGAGCTTGTTCATGGGACTGAAAATCAGTGGTTGCAAACATGGATATCTGAAGCCAGTCCTCTCCTTTTCCCATATTTGCAAGTTATCTTTACATACTGTCTCTCCTGTATGTATCACAAGAGTTTTTTGAAGCAAAAATTCCCAACATTGTGTTTTACTCTCGTGGGCAGGGTCATTTGGCCAATCAATATGTTTACTTAGTGAAAATTATTATTGCATTAAAACTTTGTATAAATATTTTTTTTAATGATATTGAACTTAACAAATATACTAATATATGCGCACACCAGTAGCTTGCTTGCGATTGATTACCGTCTTCTGTTTCTCCTAACACAGTCCGATCTGTTACCCACATACCCAACCAAATCTCAATTTTCACCTATTAAATGCTCCTGAAAAAAGTTGATTTGATTGTTTTCTCGAATTACAGTAGTGGATCTTGTTTGAATCCTTGAGAATGGTTCACATGGAGATGTAAACAGGGAAACCAGATACCAGATGAACAACGATGCCATAGAGAAATCCGACTGCGAGAGAGATTTAGGAGTAATGATAAGTAGGAACCTTAAGCCAAGTAAACAATGTGTTTTTGCTCGTAACAAGGCTAATAAAGTATTTGGGTTCATACAAAGGAGTGTTAGTTACAAGACTAGCGAGGTCATCCTAAAACTGTATCTTGCTCTTGTGAGACCACACCTGGATTACGCAGTTCAGTTCTGGTCCCCGTATTACAGAATGGATATAGAATCCTTGGAAAGAATTCAGAGGAGAATGACAAGACTAATCCCGGGCATTAGGAACCTTGAGTATAGAGACAGGTTAAAGCATCTTAATTTGCACAGTAATAATTTCTTCCAGAACTAAAATCATTAAAATGAGGCATCATTCTCAGAGGTTTGTTCTACTCTAACTTTTGGTGGTACTGTACTGTACACTTGTACAGGTATTGTATACAATATATGTCTTCAATAAACAACAGACACACACAGGTACAGTATTTGCCTTTGAGTCATCATACACCACCAGAATTTTTTTGTAACTACTGTCCAATATTTTTGTTTTGACGTAGTTTGAGTACTACTGTATAGTATGTAAACTTTTAATATTATGTCATAGTATTTTTGTTTTTCCATTAAATATGTGCTTGAAAAGGTTTTAAGTGTGCAGTAATTTTATTACCACTTGCAGAAGAAATTTTTCCAATGCAAATGTTTGTTATAAAATATAAGTCACTGGGAAAATAAGCTTTGGTGTACAGAATTTGAGTTACTCTTCAAGGATGTCACCCTTCTGTAAGTCAAGGGAGACTTGTAAAATTTAATACCAACATTACATGTTCACCTAGAACAGTGGCACTACAAGTGTTCACCTAGAACAGTGGCACTACAAGTGTTCACCTAGAACAGTGGCACTACAAGTGTTCACCTAGAACAGTGGCACTACAAGTGTTCACCTAGAACAGTGGCACTACAAGTGTTCACCTAGAACAGTGGCACTACAAGTGTTCACCTAGAACAGTGGCACTACAAGTGTTCACCTAGAACAGTGGCACTACAAGTGTTCACCTAGAACAGTGGCACTACAAGTGGGTTCAGAACAGTGGGCACTACCAGTTAGAACAGTGGCACTACAAGTGTTCACCTGTGCAAGTGTTCACCTGAACAGTGGCACTACTAAGTGTTCACCCAGAACAGTGGCACTACAAGTGTTCACCTAGAACAGTGGCATTACAAGTGTTCACTTAAAACATTGGCACTACAAGTGTTCACTTACAGCAGTGGCACTACAAGTGTTCACTTACAACAGTGGCACTACAAGTGCTCACTTACAGCAGTGGCACTACAAGTGTTCACTTACAGCAGTGGTTCACTTACAACAGTTAAAGTGCTCACTTACAACAGTGGCACTAAAAGTGTTCACTTACAACAGTGGCACTACAAGTGTTCACTTACAACAGTGGCACTACAAGTGTTCACTTACAACAGTGGCACTACAAGTGTTCACTTACAACAGTGGCACTACAAGTGTTCACTTACAACAGTGACACTGTAGGTGTTCACTTACAGCACTGGCACTATAAGTGTTACACTTAGTGTTCACTTACACACACAGTGTTCACTTACAGCACTACAAGTGTTCACTTACAACAGTGACACTGTTCACTTACAGCACTTTAAGTGTTCACTTACAGCACTGGTACTAAGTGTTCACTTACAACAAGTGTTCACTTACAGCACTGGCACTATAAGTGTTCACTTACAACAGTGACACTGTAGGTGTTCACTTACAGCACTGGCACTTTAAGTGTTCACTTACAACAGTGACACTGTAGGTGTTCACTTACAGCTCTGGCACTTTAAGTGTTTATTTACAACAGTGGCACTGTATGTTTGCTCCATTTCATATTTCTATAAAAGCATAAACACAACAGTTTTGAAATTGCACCTTTAGGATTTCAAGCGTGTGCAACACTTAACAGTGATGGGCAGCTGTCCACCTCTGGTACAGCGTACCTTCATCATCCCTCATGTATTTTACATTTAGTTTTGTCAATAAACTCAATTATAATGTACTGTTTAATTATTCATTATCCACCTTTGCTGTCAGATGAGTACAAGTGTGAGTCTGTGCACCTGAAAAGGAAACTTATAGTAACATGGAATTAGGACAAGACATAATCAGGTCAGGCTATGACACCATGCTATCAGGGGCCACCTTGACCTCACATAACCTTGCAAGCACCTTTGGTGTTAGATTATATTGATCAGCTGTTGTGCTCTTGACTATTAATTTTAACACACTTGTAAGGGTCACTATACTGTCTTATAATCCTTTATCAACATTTATTTATCAAATTGTTTGAAACTGATTACTGTACTGGGTTATGGAAAATGGTCTTCAGGGGTTCCCAAGCATTTTCAATGTGGCACCATGTCATTTTACACACACACAGGATAGAGAGATAGTGCACCAGCCCACCATGATTGAACATCCTTAACCAGTCACCAGCAGTATATTTCATAACCAAGACAAAACCACAACATCCTGAAGCCTTCTTGTTATTATTTCACTTCCTAAACACTGAACTGAACTCTGAAACAGCTTAATAATACCTACTAAAAACCAAAACAAAGATATTATCTCCTAGTTGTAGGAGTGTGTGCGGGTGTGCGCGCTTTTTTTGTCAGACACCTCGGCTGTGACTGGTATATAGTGCACTCAGTATTCTTAGAATAAATAGACATATTTAACTGTAAAAACAAATTGGGAAATGTATTAATTACTAAAGAAGTGTAAAAGTAAACAATGTCAGAAATGGGTTACAACTGTTATTTTTATATCATCATTTAATGTTCTATACCTGGGGTATAAATGCATAGTTAAGCAACATAACATAAATTTTCTCAGTTACAAAACTGTCTTATGTGGTATGTGTGCATTATCATTTAGTCCATTTACTGTTAACTGGGGGTATAATTCTGTTAATAACAACATTGCATACAATATTATAAGTTACAGTTCTGTCATATGTTCTTTGCTACAATTGTGATATATTTCATATTTGCTGTGTTCATCATTTGATTAATTTTCTATAGTATCTTGGGGTATATGAGGATAAGCAACATAGCATACAGTTTCCATTGTTGTTTGTTCTTGTTCATGAGACTCAAGCAGCTCTACATCAGCTCTCACATCTTCAAACTCCATACTTTGGATAAGGTTGATTATTCTTGCCATTTTGTTCTGTACATATATAGGCTATCCCGGGTTACATACAAGTTCCTTTCCTACGGATGTTCTTCAGTTGAAAATGTACAGTACTTAAGTCGAACCACATACCCTATGTGCATACTGTGCAGTAATTACAGAACAGTGATTAAAATGCCACTACATCACAGCCTTAGTCCTTATGTATATCTAAAATCACTTAATTTAAGAGAAAAGGAGAAATAGAATGACAAAGTACTGTACAGTACACCGGACCCTCGCTTTGTACGCATTCACTATACTGGTATGCGGCGACCCTATTTCTTCCCATAATTCATTTTATTTGGAAAAAGATTCCCTATTATGCATTCTGTAGAAAATATGGCACACTTGTTTTATATTACAGTAATACTATTATATTATACTATACAGTGGCCCCTCGGTTAACGAACTCAATCCGTTCCAGAAGGTCGTTCGTTAACCGAAACCATTGTTTCAATGGGTTTTTGGGTAATTGGTTCCAGCTCACCGAAAATTTCCTAAATTCAACAAAAATGGTAGAAAAGTTCACTTACTTTGAGGTGTGTATGTAGAAGGCTCCTGGATGATGATGATGTGATTTAGAATGGGGGTGGAGGAGAAGGAAGAAGAGAAGGCATTGGGGTGGAAGAGAAGTCACCCCATGGCACCATTTCACCCATAAAATTTTAGCTCTGGTTTAATTCAAGATTATTTTCTTTAAATCAACGCTGCACTGCATTATATATTGTCAATATATAAAATATATTTCAAAATGACCAATAATTTGCTTGGAAACACAGAAAAAAAGCATTTAGTTGAAGAGAGTCTCAAGCAAGATGTTACCTCCAGTGAAAACAGAGAGAGACTAACTCCTGTTTGCTGTGTTAAGAGGCTGGATGCCGCGCATTAAACTAGTCACTTTACCTTCAATTTTGTTCAATAATTGTTAAAATGACTAAAAAATTGAATATTAAACTTTTAAAATTATTGAATAGTATAAACTTCTTGATATTTACAAAAATAGTAAGGAATTTAAGCCCTAGAACCGATTAATGTATTGGCGGACTGATACTAAAGCTGGTTGCCTGGTCAGTGCAAGCGAAAACATGTTGAGGTCGGTTCGTAAGAAGTTCGTTAAGCGAATTTTTTTTCGTTAACCGAATTGAAGATCCTTATGGAAGGCAGTTCGTTAATCGAAATTACGTTAACCGAGGTGTTCGTTAAACGAGGGGTCACTGTATTATACCCGGTATATCTATTTCTAATCCACAGAGTACAGTATTTTAATGATTTTTCTACAACTTTTATTGCATTAATGCTTCAGAAATGGTTGTGAAATACGGTACCTGTACTGTGTGTGCTTGCTGTATGTGACGTCATGGGACGTAGCTAGGGTGGTGAGTGAGCCACTCTACACACTTTTACTTTCCACACTAACACCCATGCTCTTCAACTGTCTTAGTTTATACTGTTATATTATATTTTATATTATATTATGTTATATTATATTATATTATATTATATTACAGTATATTATATTTATTTCTGACCCACATTGGAGTATTGTGGAACTTATCCTAATTTTCCCCATAAGATTAAGTATTCACTATATGCGGATTCCCATTATGCAGTGTTGTCACAGAATGCAACCATAGCATAAAGCGAGGGTCAGGTGTAAATGAAAGTAAAGAATAAGTCATTTGGGTGAATAAAATACTGTAACTGTAAATTTAAAGTTTAACCTTATGGAACTTAGTTTGTATCGGCGGATGTTCGTAAGTCGGACTCGTGTAACCCAGGGACCTCCTGTATGTGTTAAAGTTAAACAAAATAGTTGCTCAGTGGGTTTCTAAATACTGTCTAGATATATATTGCCATATTTTATTACAATAAGGTCCTACTTAATGAGCAACCAATTTACAACAATTTGATTTAACATCCATAATATGTACAGTATTTTAGGATATATTTCATTAAACAAACTTTTGTTCAACTTCAGGATTCCTGCAAAGGTACATTTGCTCCTTGTTTTGTACATGAGGGAGCAATTTTTGAACTAGGAAACTACCCTTATTATCCTTTAATTAAAAGGAGAGTAAATTTCCCCTAAGAGTCCATTTTCACATTAATTACCTGTTAGAACTTACCATACCCGGGATGCTGCTAGTAATGACTCTTGTTTCCCAGAGTGAAGGGTTAGTGCATAATTAGATACACTCAGGCCATGTAGTTCCAGGCTCAAGTCAATCCTTCATTTATGATTAGAGGATAGTAGATGACATACAGTACAGTACCTTCATACTATCCTTCCATGACGATTGGATGGTGAGATAAGAATGGCAAGAACTAACTAACATTGGCTGCCAGAGAACATCCTAGGATCACATTTTCGGTTATTGAGTGAAGTGAAAAAGGGCTTTTCCTGGGAAAGTTATTATGACTTATTGAGGTCTATGGTTTGAATGGCAGCGTCCGTATCATTTTGAGATCTTTTTCTTTTTTAGAATTAACAAGAGCAGGTATATGTTGCAGAGGTAAATGGGATTTCAAGGTCAATTCCTAAGTTTTATTTTTACTAATATATTCTCAAGTAGGGCAAGGTTTGAGGGATCTTGTATGATTTTGTAAATTTACTGATATTATTTTAATATTAAATATCATTTGGATTCACATTACTGTACTAGTCTACTATAGTTAGTACTGTATCTGTACTGTGGATTTCTGTTAATTATGCTGTAAGTGAATTTGTGAATATTATTGAACTGATCTCCAGTGGTTCTGAAGTCACCCTATAAATGTCATTGTAAATATAACAAAGGAGAAGATTAAAAAGATTGATAAGGAAGCTACTGGGTAAGTTTTAAGTAATTACAGTACACCTCATTACTGTATATGCACAGTATTTTATAAATTCCATAATATACTGCAGATAAAATTTGATATAGAATGTTTCTTTCTTTACAGACAAGTGATGCCAGTGACACTAAATGCTGGGTTCAGAATGCCTTCTTGGTAAGTGTAGTTTTAAGAGTTTTCTGTTGTGATAAGATTGGGGTGCATGATATTGATGGTACAGTACTGTACGTTATACATTTACTTTTTATAGCCCGGGCCAGCAATGAGTGACCTGTGAGATATCTCCACTAGAACATCCTCAGTTTGAGCCTGCCCTTAGCAGGGTGATGCTTCACTTGTTCTACAGCAAGCTACACTGTCTAGTTGGTCAGTTTAAATGCTGTAAACAGCTACTCACAGAGTGAATCAGCATAACAGCTTTTTGCCCAGTGTTTGCTGTGAGTAAGAGATGCTTCAGATTTAATGGATACAGTACCTTAAATCCTATGATTGATTCTTGTCTCCTTTGTGCTTCTTGGTGGCTGCAAGTATGATACTTGGGCTCAACACTTCCTCTCATCAACATGACAAATGTTTTCATGTATCATATTACAGTAGAAGGAAATGAATTATTTGAACTTAGCAGTCATTAACTTTGGTACACTCCTTTATTTCTGGTACATTAATCCCTGAAGTTTTATGGGGGATACACTCTAGAAATGGCTGCATATCTTGAAATCCACAAAAATCATTTGTATTGAAGTAATTTACTTTTGTTTATGCTATCATCTCTCTTTGGTGCAGGGGGGGGTAGAGGGGGAGGGGACATCGTCTCCTACGTCGTCAGGGATGTAATTTCTGTACCAAAATCAATCGATCAATCATTTATGCAATACTGTATGCCTACATGTACTGTACTGTACATTTCCACAAAATAAAAGGCTTATTAAACACTGCTATTTTCCATTAAATATATACTGTATATATAATTAGAAGGAGTGTTTTGCTGAAACATAATGTATTTCAGTGTAAATTAGGATAAACTATATGAAAACAAAAGACTTTATCTAACCTTCCGATGTTCAAGATATGATACTCGTTTTTTTAATAGCTTTCGGTTAAAATACTGTTATATTAGTGATATTCTATTCATACTGTGCTTGATATAATACATTCACGGAAATGTAATATTTTTGCTGAAATGACGTACGTGTTACAGTGGAAAGTGGGATAAAATCGTGACGAAAGCAATGGCTTTCGCTTTCTTTCGTTTAAAAGATGTTACCGTAATCGCTTTTTGAAGGGTTTTCAGTTAAAAGACTGTTGTATTACAATAATATTCCCTCCTAATTGAACTTGAATAAATACTTGAATGGAAATATACAATATTTTTGTTGAAACTACCCGCGTTTCAGTGTAAAGTGTCGTAATAATAAATGATAAACAATTTGCCTTCGGCACTCGGTGTTTCAGGCATGGTGAGCCTCAGTTTATAGGACGTAGAGTGTTTTTACTGAAGGTTTTGTTGTTCCAATACCCTCAAAAACTTGGGTCGACCTATAAACAAGGAATATCATAAATTAACGATTTTTTGGTAAAAAAATCAGGGTCGACCTACAATGCTGATGACAACACAAGCGTGGTTACAGCGAGACTGACTGAGTGAGGGAGCGCGGGGTGGTGTGACGCACGATGCGTACAGTACAGTTCAATAAAGTAGTTCTTTAGTTATCTTCTTGATCTGATACTCTGCAAGGACTTAATTATAACATTAGTGGATGTCTGATGATGAGTTCATATATTGTATAGGGCTGACTGGTTGTGGTGCTTATGGACCTTGATCATTCAGTACTATATATGGAAGATGAAGTTGACACACAGGTTAGCTATGCTGCTTTATGTAAGTGAAGCAAGCAGTTTATTTTGGTTTTGTTTTATCAATGGGGGGCATGTATTGGCTGAGATATTAATCCTGACTACAGTATTAGACTTACTTCATAATTTTCACTCGTTTTTTTTACAATAACTGGAAAATATTGTCAACAGGGTACGGTGCCTAGGGATCTTATTGGTGTTGTCACTAAGGATCACCAAATGAGTGCCAACCAGGACCTGTATTCCTCAGTTAAGACTCTTGCTATGTTCTGAAAAAGTGGTGTATCATGCCAAGTGAAATTATTAGAGTTAAAGATCCAAAATTCAAAGGTCTAATACACCAAGAATACACATGGTTCCAGATTTAAAGGAAGGTCTAAGATTTAAGCATGTGTTTGTTATTGGGTTTGTGCACAGTGTAGTGGTGGTTATATTTATGTACCTTATACTGTATTTCACTTATTTATTCTTACAACAAAATTTATATGTTTGTATAAGTGTAGAGAGTAGCTGTGTGCAAGTTGTAGATATACGCTGTAAACCTGGGTGCCCCTTACCTTACCAGACGTTAATCTATGCCTTTAACTTTGTACATTATTGGTTTTAAGTGACAATAGAGATGCCCACTTGGAGCATAGAATCCCCATTTTGTCGACTTCCTTTCTCAATTTTTCCCAGTGAGTCGAACATCGTTAAACGGAACATTGCGGATTGTTAAACAACAAAGGGTGTTAAAAATTCTAAATTCCTAAATCGAAATATCGCTAAGTGAACGATCGCTAAACGATGGATACTTGTACCTAAACAAGATTTACATTCAATATACTTTTGTTTACCTGTAATCCTTCTTTCACTTCTGTGTGTGAACTACATCTAAAGACATACCAGCTATCTCTTACATTGCAAATCCGTTAAATTTTTTTCTTTATGTTAGAAGGTCTGACGTATGTATTGTTAATGGTAAGATTATTTACTAACCAGATTCCTGGACTGGAGAGTCACATGTTATCACTATTACTGTATTTCAGGTTTGATTTAAAGTCTCTTGATGTAGATGGTCCCGAAGATGGAGATGGCATTAAGAAAGCAAGAGATGGGATTCACCACCTGATTGAGGAAGAAGTTAAGAATGGTATTCCTCATGAGAGAATAATGTTAGGTGGCTTCAGTCAAGGTGGTGCCTTGGCCCTTTACTCAACCTTCACACATACCAAGACACTTGCAGGTGTTGTGGGCCTCTCATGTTGGCTGCCACTGAGGGAAGAGTTTCCTCAGGTGAGTACTAAGTGCTACTTTATTCTTTAATTTTATTATGACGAAGTGATGCTAGATATTATTGACGTTAAATATAAAAGCCAATGAATGGAAAGTTTATTACAGTAGATGAGTGGAAATAGTCATGAAATGAAAGAAAATAATCTGTAAAAATATTAGAGGGAATGTACAGTATCAAGAACTAGAGTACTGTACAGGAATACCCCGATTATCACAAATGATGCATTCCTAAAAGTTACTGTGAGTATTGGGTCAATTATCCCCAAACGAATAAATATAAATGGGGGAGGGTGTATTCCTAGCCAGCAGCTTCCACCTCATATTTTTTTATATAGAGTACATACTCATTATCTGAGGCTATTAAGGACCAGGGTCACCTGTATACTGTACTGTAATACAGTACCAGTAAATGTGACAAATAAATAAACATTATACGTACTAATAAATAAAAGAAAAGAAAAAATACTGCTTTGCCATTTGGCAATAGTGTCACTACGCGCTGGACAGAGGAGACTGGAGCGGCTGAGATCTCCGACAATGCTTCCTCCTCCTCCCACAATCCGCGTGCTAATTACTGTGCATGTAAGAAATGTTTACTTTGTTGTATTTTGTCATTCTATTTCTTCTTTTGTCTTAAATTAAGTGATTCCAGATGTATATAAGGACTTAGGCTATGATATAGTGGGATCTTAAACATTGTTCTGTAAGTATGGTATGCACATATCATGTGTTCCGACTTGCGTACAAATCCGACTTAAAGAATGCCCTCAAGAACGGAACCCTATCTCAACCCGGGGACCCCCTGTACAGGTACACTCCATATAATGCAATAAAATAGGTACAATAACCATAAAAAAATACAAATGAATACGTGTGTGTGTGTGTGTGCATGCGTGCGTGCGAACTTTTTAACTAGCTTTTACCATTGCTACATGAAGAATTCTAGAACTCTCTGCATGTTTTGTCATGCTGCAGTTTGGAAGTACTGTACAGGTTCAGGCATGGTGTGAGCATAACCTGTGGGTGCACCTTGTGAATGGTCCCATTGAATATTATTAATTTCTAAACCACTTCGGGTCCTCACGTGCGGAAAAAAATGTGCCCATGTGAAATTGGCCTTTACAGCGGAGTATAAGAGCCGTGGATAGCCTGTGCAGCTTAACATATTATTGTAGGGTATCATAATTTTTCTTTGCGAATATGTAGGGTGTGTTTTGTGAATATTGAATGGGGTGTTAATGTGTCAATTGCTGATAAGCGGGGCTGTGAATAGCGAGGTATTCCTGTATAAGGCCTTGATTTTGGTGCCGAGTTTCTCAGTGATGATTCTGTCATTCCCGGTATATCAAATTTTTATTAAAAATCACACTACTGTACTTTCTTTTAATTTGCTCATTAATAAGTGAAACATGATGTGAAAAATATTGCTTGGCTGCAGGTTAACTGAGAATTGCATGAAACAGTGAGGATTGAGAAATGAAATCCCCTTTTATGGCAAAAGACATATGCAAGGAAATTGCAAGCACCTCATAAGCAAAGTCTGTCTCTGCTTATAAGGTGGACAATACAGTATAATGCTGCAAGCAACAAATGCATTATTCTTACTCATGTAGTTGAATCCATAGAAATCAGAAGGTTGTCTTAAGGAACATATTGGAACACTTAAGTTTGCCTCTTGACTTCTGGGCTCATTCTCTCAAACCCAATTGGATCATGTGAAATCATAACCTATCAGATTTGGGTGTGGGATCCTGAACATTGAGGACTATGGGAAAAACAAAACACTTGGTAAATGTGCCCAGACCATACAAATGGCTAGTTTAAGAATTTGCATTAATTTTCTCTGGTTATATGAGTTGAGGGGTATTACTCCCCCCAAAAACGGTACCGTAAGATTGGGTAACTTCAGATAGTGTTCGAGGTTTGTTGAAGCAGCACTTTAAGTTTGAAGGCTAAAAGATATGTTAAATGCACTATTGGTGTGTGAACTAATTAGTTATCCATTCGTGTCAACAGAAATTCGGGAAATCACATACATTTTCTATGAAGAGAAGATTTATAGGTCTCCGAGATCAACCCAGAGATGGGGGTGACTTTGGACAACAGCGCTAATTCAATGGGTATACCTGTTAGAGCCTGGCCGGACAGCCTGGGAGTGACTTTGGACATAATGAACTAATAAAAAATTGGTCAGAAATCTGCAGCAACAAAATTACATATACTGTCCCTGTAGGTCACAAAGGGAAGAAGATTCAAGAAAATGGTAATACGTGAAAATAACATGATATATGGTTCTGTTAGGGGTTCATTTTTTAAGATATACAGTACATTAGGAGAGAGAGCAAAACAAATTTAACGAAGCACTCAAGAGACACTTAAAAAAAAAATGGTTATAAGTACCATGTATAATGCCACCACAAGTTTAATATTATGCAATCTTGCAAATATGTATGAATAATATTTGAATTTTGCCTCCCAAGCCATTTGTGAGCTGGCCGAAGCCACCCCAAGTTGAAGACAATTTTTACATTTTTACATTCAAGTCACATTTTCAGGTACATGAAGCACCCCAGATTGTTTTTAAATTTTCAAGACAGACAAGTTTCTAATATTTTCTACTAGATGTATTACTCTATGTATTCTGATATGCTCCTGCCTGACAAAGTTTGGCAACATTTGAATTAAAAAAAAAAGATTTTGATTAGCAACTTCTATTTATTACTTACACTTTAAACTAGTGACTATTAATTAATACTTACACTCTAAACTAGCAAATGATACTTAATATGAAAACAATATAGTTAGGGCAGCATTTTGATACCAAGCTAACTTTGCTTACTGTGACTGTCTACATGCTGTTGCCTCTTCAACTATTTTTTTCCAAATTGTGTCTGAAGCCACCCCATGTCTGAAATCACCCCATCTTACAGTATAAAAATAAATTAGCCACTGCCTATCCTCCATTTCTTGCTGGTTGAGGACTTCATATAATGGAGGCAGATGATAACCTTGAGCTCCTGCTTAAATCATCATCAATAGCATATGGTTTCATAGCCCCAGTCAGTTGTTTATGGCCCATGTAATAAAAAGTAATAATACTGATACTGCAATTAATGATTTATTTCTCAAATGTGCCAATTGTATTTAAAGGGTAAAAAATTCGTCAACATTCAGTATGTAGGAGGAAATAAAACATTAATTATTAAGCTGTACAACCACTGTTAATTTTTCTAGTTTGCTGATTTATATTGATGCAGAGGCAGACCCAGGGAGGTCCTGGGGTCTGGATTTCCCCTTTTCATCAGAAAATTACATTACTTTTTCTTTAATGCAGTATTGTACTCAGGCATTTTTGTAATGTAAAAAGTATTTAATTTTTACCTCAGAATATCTCCTAATATCAAGTGCATATGGCTTCAAAATGCCCATATTATTGGCCAGATTTAAAAAAAATGATGATGGTGGGGGGGGGGGGTGCTTACAGTATCCCCCTTCCCCTTGATGTTCCTGGTTTCGCCCCTGTGATGGGATAGTCATGTCATTTTCACTTACACCCATCTTGTGTTATGTTTACCAAATGTGCTATAGGTCACTTTTTCAGGATTTTCTAATCCGCCCCAAATGCGCAAAAACTGGAATGCAAGGAATATGAAACATCCATTGATGTTATGCGCTGTCCCTACAGCTAACATCAATTGATGTTAGTCACCATTTACGGCTTTAAAAAATTATAGCAGTTATATCATTGGACTTATTTTAGCTAACATTAGGCCCATTAATTTCCAATACTGTACAGCGTTGTCCCCATTAGCCAGAATAATTGGTGCAGAACTTTTTCGGGAATGAAAGATTTCTCTTCCTTGGAAAAATCCTACTTCCCATAATTTTTCCAAGTAGTGGAATAAGTTTTCTGAGAGTCTAAACTACTCATCTCGCACGGACAGACACTCGCACATCCCCGGAATGTTTCCAGGTGCTGGGGAAAGTTTCCGAGATTCTAAATTATGCATCGTGCACAGACAGACATAGATCTGTATTTATTGATGCAAACACCACTTTACACATACCATATATATATATATATATAAAATTAAATTATGTATGCCCTGTACTACTACTGTACTGTATATACTGTACTCACCAGTAGATACTGTCATCGTGAGCTTGTGATACAATGCCAGCAGGCCAAATGGTGATACGGTGATACAGGATGGCCTGCCTTTGTCCTGTACCGTCTACTGTAGCAGGTGTTACTAACTGTCACTCTCCTCTGCCTCCATGAAGGAGGGATTGTACACGCACTGTATATACTACACACACACACACCTCTACACACCAGCCTACAGTAGGCATACACTGTCCACTCTGCCGAATGTACAGTACAGTATAGCATACATAACTGTAATCACTGTATTCTTGGCTGATTGTGTCCTGGTAGAGTAATGTACTGTACTGCACTACACAAATTGTATGCAAAAACAGTAGTGGCAGCAGAATATGAACTAAGGAGCAAACCTACGGCCGAAGTTACCCAAACAGATAAGCGAGACAACCCACCCGCACGTTTGATGCAATCTCTCAGAACTCCTGCTAAATTTGTTCCCATACCCAGAACGGAGAGGTTTAGAAAGACTTTCTCTGAATTTTTCTGGAAAATGCACTTGCCCGAAATGGAGAAAGTCTTCCCGGAAGGCTCCAAATCCATTTCTGATATTGGAGAGTTCTGGGGACCAGGGATTCTGGCTAATGGGGAGAATACTGTACATATGTAAGAACTTTGTATTGAGTACAATTATTATCTCCTCTCATTTCTAATTCTTTTGCAATAAAATTGAGAAAGAATCACCTACAGTAGAAAGATCAGGCATGAGTGATTCTTTTCATGCCATTATTGCATCGCAAAATCTCCATAATTCAGAATAAAATGGGCTCGGCCCTCACCAAAATGAGACAAATTTCGACTTGTGATCAATTGCTTACTCGACTGCCAACATTGCTGA